TGGGTGTACGTGTGACGTATATATCCGACAAAAATTTAGTATGCAATGGACGAGTCAGCCCGCTAATTTATCCGCGAGTTCACGTCGCAGTTCCAATATACACATAATACATAATATATATATATATTCGGAGCGCGTGTAATCCAATTTTCGAAATTAAAGGCACCGCGACATAAGCGAATGACTTTGGAAAGCAGAGACTTAATGATTAACCAACTACCTACCTAGGTTATTCGATACCTTTGTAGTGGTGATTTAATCAGACGCTTTATTCAGACGGTTTGAATGCGCAAATATTGTATAATATATACCAGCTGCCTTTTACATGAGGAAATATTATACAAATTATGTTCTGGTGGTGGCAAAGAGTTCAAAAACCATCGGCCGACCTTTTTTGTGTATATATTATTTCTATAATACTATCACAAGCGCCGCGGAAAATGGGCGTGCCTGATGGTGGACGAGGCGCCTACATACATCGATCCCSACCGCGATTTAAATCGATTTTCGTCCAAAGAGGGATTTTTAATGTTTTCCGATGATATTATATTACTGTCATTATATACGTCATGTTATAAGAGCATACACGCCTAACACGTGTCGTAGACGCCACACGTGTGAAGGTCGTACGTTTTGTCCAACATTAATAACGATCAAACTATACTACCGTGGTCCATAAAATATATGTACCAGAGGTTCCTATTATTAGGATATTAGTCACGCCGACCACTGAAATATTATTATAGGCTGAATGATGTTATAATTTTATTATATTCCTACAAACCAATACCACTAGATTACCTTTTCGGTATACTTCAATTTTGGATATTGAAAAAAATTTAAATGTGTTGGAAACATCATTAACGACGGCCGACGGGGTTCTCATATTGTACAAAGGATAGTGGTATTTTTTTACATTTTTTTTTCGATTAATTTAAACGCAGTAAAAACAAACAGTGCTCCTTACGTTTATTTTTTTTTTTTTTTTAATTGACAGTGACTTATTTCCATTTCAAACATATGTGGGGTATTAATCATGTTCAAAACTATAATAAATGAAGTATGTGTGTTGCCTACACGTTATAAGCTTTGATCATTATTACTCGTAAAAATTCTTTTACGCGTTATTAATAATAAAAAAGAAATGTATCATAGATATATTATTTTTAAATTTGAATCGGTATGTTGAATCATTATTATGATTGTATAAATGTGATTTGACATTTTTCAGAACTCTATGAGTAAGGCACAATAATAATAATAATAATAAATGAAATACATTTTTATCTTCAACGTATTCTGTTCAAAACATCCCATTTGATGAATAATTTAAGAAACAATTAGTTTCATTTTCTAGAGAAATTCAGCGATATAATCAGTGAAATAATGTTCAAAATGTACCTATACCCTTTTGATCAACTTTTCAATGACATTAAAGTCTCATAATAATTTATTGTTTAAGGTTGTTATAAAATCACTGAATCCTTGTACAGAACCTTCACCTTTGTGAATAATTTTTTCAGAGTGATGATTTCCAATTTAAAATATTTTCCCAGTACTTAACGCAATACTAATCTAATGCAATGCCAATAAAAATAATTTTTGAGTCAGTTTGAGAAATAAGCGAATCATCAATTGAGGTATGAAATTACTTTAAAAAAAGATTGTTTTTTTAATTTTTAGAAAAATAAACTATTACCTATATTACAAATTTTAGTTTTAATAGTATATAATAATTGTTTGATTCATGTTTGTAGAATAATAACGCAATTACTTTAATAATTGAAAATTTCAAGTAATTAATATTTATTTATTTATTCATAATGACAAATAACCAATTCACRATATATCTGTATAAATAACAATAATAATATACAACATAATAAAAGATAATAAGACTAATACCTACATAGAATAATAATAAAAATTCAATATATAATTTTATTAAAGTAATTAACTATTTCCAGAATACATAAAAATATTTATTGGGTCGTTTGATATATACTTTTTAGTAGAGTGAGGAATATAAAATAATTGATTGTTGCGAATGTATAGTGTTTATTAACTTTGAAAT